TCATATTTATCGTAAGGAAACGAAGCGGTGATCCCACAAATGGATGGGTGAGCCTCCGACATATTCCGACCCATATTCTTAAGCGCAGAAAATTTATTTCCAAATACATTCGCGTCCAAAACATAAATTCTTCCGTACGCAGGAATGTGCTCCCTAATGTAGTATGTAATAACCACGTCATTAAGCCACCTTTCAGAGTCCAACGTCTCAATATTCTTTTCCTGAACGACGAGGCGCATTTGGTTTCTGCCTGGTGCAAAAAAATGTAGTCTGTGTCTTGCGCACGACTTGAGACGTCACAACAAATTATGCGCTATCATCTACTTCGTCATCGTTATTAAGTAGTGAAACAATGTCAGATGGAGCAGTCGCCGGGTCAGACTGCGCAACGGGATTTTCCAACAGTTCGGCTGGCATTTCAAGCGGTGACTCGGAAATGTCTATTGACGGCTTGTCACCACCAAAATCCACGATTGGCAAATCACAATTAATCACACCAGGGAATGCTGGTTCGTCCACAATTTTCTCCACTCTTTGGAACTCACTGTTCTTCGTCTCAGGTGGTGTCTGCCGAAAATTATGAAGAGCAACGTGACCCACAAGGTTGTGGCGCCTCAAAACCCAAGACAGCCACTGCCGTTGAGCCCATACGACAATCTCTTGAACTCAGAAATTCTTTGGTCACAGTCTTGAAGAATAACACTACGAGTCAATTTAGAGTCACAATCACTGAACAACTTGATCATGTTAACAATTTCCTTTTCAAATTCACAAGTTTTGGGTGTGGGGCCGGGATTGACCGCAATGCCGCTGTCAATTCGAGAATAAAGCTGGTCTTGTTTTGCGACCCACCCGAGCAAGGTTGTTCGGGTTATATTCAGCTGACGCGACGCTTCCGAAGTACTCCAGCCTTGTACGTCCATGTGCGCTAGGGCCTCCACTTTCTGCAAGTCGGAAAACGGACGTGCATAGTTCATCTGCCCGTTTTGAACTGTGTAAATCGCAACTTGAATGGTGTGGACGGGTTACACGACAGGGTTGTACGGGCTACACGACACCACGTGAGGATTTCGTGGCGTGTACCCAGGTTACTCGACACCCTTTGTATGGGTTGTACGGGCTACACGACACCACTGGGCTAGCAAACCAGTACGGCCACTACGGTTTTATCAGGGTGGTTGTGGTGCTGAAACAGGGTGCGCATTTTCGCAGTACAAACGTGTACGAAATTCTCTACATTTGTTACGGTAACTAATGCTTGTGTCTCACGATGTTGCAGCTACTGGTTGAAGGGGGTCCTGTCTATCTGGATCTTAAACAGCGCCAGCATTAACCAGACGCTGGTAGCGCGTGATCATGTCGTTTAATTCTCCAGTAGCGTGGACGCCATGAAGGTTCTTTCGAACAGCAGTGGACCCACGTGACATGATATTGCGCTGACGAAGGAAGGTAATTACCGCCGTCTCAGCCTGCCTTTCTCTCGCCAAAACTTGCTTACGATAGTCGCATGCGCTTGGATTAGGGGAGAAGCCGTCCCCAAGAAACAATTTCAGGTATCCGACGAGCTGCCTCGCGCTTGATCGTTGTTGTTTGGATGCAGCGGTAAGAGAACGGGGTTCTTGAGCGTACCAAACGTATCATGTCGCGTGCAGGTAGGTCACAGAAGTCCGTCGACGCTTGGTTGGCTTGGCTGGGTCGGGTTCAGGATCATGCTGACGTTTGATGCTTAAACGTTGCTGCACAGCACCTACCTTCGCTTCTAGAAGATCCATGCGCTCATCCTGCCTCTTAACGTGCAGAACGAACTGGTCAATGATACGGCGCTGGTGTTCAATGATATCACATTCTTGTCTTGGTCGCCGGTTCGATGTGGGATTTATGTCTTCCTTGTCTTCTGGCAGACGTGTTTTCGTAGCAATATTCTGAGCAGCCAGGTGGGACGACCAAACCAATAAGTCTGCGCGTGATGACCCTGCCAGAACTACGCTTGCTTCGATGCGTTTTACAGCTGGTACATCAGGATTAAGATGATTAGCCGGGGATAATGCAGCAACAGGTAACCTGTTAGAGCGTCCAGAACATGGTGGCTCACGTTATATTGGGCTCGTTCTAGCTTCAGGTACGTCGCGAAGAGATACTGCTGAGCGGCTGCGGTTTTTTCTGTGTGTGTGCATCAAAAGACTTCAAGTCCTTCAAAGGTACCTTCGCTTCTGTGCTGTATCCGCTGAGGGCCCTGCTTACCTTGTGATCCTCGTGGCTTGTGTTGAAGATGTGGTTAAACCCCTTGTTTGCTGTACTCATGTTCCAGGCACCACGGTCGAAAATCCAGCGATGCGTGAGGCCGTCACAACCGTTGACGTGCTGCGCTCCGCCTTGGCAAAACGAATGAGAAGAGAGGGCGACCTCGATACCAGCGGCGACAGCGATTCGGTCAAGAACTCTGTTGACATGGGAGTAAATGGTGGGCGTCTTCCCAGTCACGACTGCTCCGCCCGCCGCAGCAGCCACAGCGCCAAGTGCAGCGTAGTCGTCAGGATGGTCGAGTACCTCCAGGAGCGGCGTCGCGGGGGACAAGGAGACAGAGGCTTCGACAGGAAGCGACGGCAGATTATCGAGCAAGTCGACGCACGGAGCGTATTGCACCAAGAGTACCAGAGCCATAGCGTACACCGGGCATGTGATGAAGTCTTCGTCGGGAAACAGCGACAAGCCTTGCTCCTCAGAAGTCTTGAGCCGAATGAAGCGCACGAACGGGATGTCTGCGGCGTCAATGGTGAGGTTCTGCTTCTGGACGAGGGAGAAATCGGAAGCGCGTCCAAACAGGTACCACAGCATACATAGTAGCGCTGCATCTTTATAGTCGCTTGAGGTAGTCGCATTCTGATACAAGTGTAGCACCATTTTTCGCAAACCTGCCTTCGTGCATGGTGGCGCCTTGCTCACTACCTTGCCCACTACCTTGCCGTCTCTTTTATACAAAAGTTCTCCAGCGACTTCCCCATACTTAGCAACTTTGCCTCGACAATGTGCCGCTGCGTGGGGAAGAGCTCGAACAGCCACATCTTAGTCTGTCTATATTACTGCATGGTAGTGTTGCGGGCAAGCTGTTTACCCTTCTTGCCTTCGTTAAAGGCAAGATACATGCCAAACATATCCAATATAGACACAAATGATTTTCCACTATCATCTTTCGCAGTGAAGCTCCTGACATACTCAAAGTCTACAGACTCACTCTTTACAAAAGCCTTGAACGTTGCGATGGCGGTTGCCTTAGCTCGTTTTGTGTTTCCAGGCTTAAGCTCGTCCAGTCCCATCCTGTCGGATGTATTGCAAACATGCAAGTGGTACGTCCGCCACTTAGTTTTTGAATAGGCATACACATATTTTTTCGTATCCTTCCGACCCGATACCTGGTTTAAATGACCCTACCCCTACGCAATTTTATTAGTGGAAATACACGTAACACTGTATTTCCATTGCTACAATAATTTCAAATTCCGTAATAGGCTGTTCAGGAGCATACAAAACTTAAGTAAGGTCGGATAAGTGATGATATTCATCCTTTGGTTTGGTACAGGTCCTATAAGGTCGGAGGTCGGATAAATTTAGGTATGGAAGGGCGGGAGTGGAATAGAGCAAACTACGGAAAGGAAAAAAAGTAACTTCCTGGTAAAACTATCGTCTCCGGAAGCAACAGTTCAAGCAAGCAAAGCAGCTGAAGGTAAATGGGACAAGAAGAAACGCCTTGCTCAGAAATTAAAAGCTGCTAGATAGGCAAAGAAGTGAAAAAGTTTGGAGTAGGCTCCTATAGCAAATATATGTTGATAAATCTCATATAATTTTACAGAATGTCTGCAGCCCCAGCTCCAGCTAAGTGCTCTAGTATTCTCTAAAGCCACACTTGTTATCTATGTCATACATTTGACAAAGTGATTTACATAGCCAGATAGTTTTATTGTTGAGGCAGCGTCAATTGACATTTCTGATTTTCTGCTTTACTTTTGCCGGACAAAATACAGCCCTAGTCGTAGTTTTGGGATATACGCAAACCAAAAACCAGATCCATTATCTACACCTGACCCTACACTATTTTTAAAGAGCAGTTGGCTTTAGGACAAATCTTGTCCTGATTGGTCAAACGCTATACAGTATCAGCATCACGATAGAGAGTAAAGTCTTTTTGGTTTAAAAAATACTGTGTAATATCGGTCAAAAACCGGTCCTTGACAATCGCTATACTTGATGTTTGTATCAATGGCTTCATCTTGACTTCACTAAAAAAAGCGTGGATACCGATATTTCTACCGACTTTGACAAAATGTGGGATAAACGAGCTGCGAATTTAGTCCGAAGCATAATCCGCGCCCGTTCCGGAGCAGTGCCAGTTGGCATCAAGTAGCAAGATTTCATTGTTTGGGCTGTTCTTTGGACCGATCGGTCGCCCCGGTGCTATTGTGTTAGCGCGCTTGCATCAGCGCGGCACGCAATTTGCGTTGGACAAGCGACCGTAGCACGCAGTTTATCGAGGTTGACCACCTGAGAATCACAAACGTAACTTACAATATGCTGACGACCCTATCTTCGATACGGTATCGACGATACTGAATCACAGGACACTGAGCTTGTTCTCAGACGCCTTCGTCGCACGACCTTTCCAGGTTTCCTTGCAAGCAGGGCCAAGCTGTGGTATCACCGCAGCCGTACCATCTACATCGGTCGACTACCACCCAGACGGCGTAGGGTGGATACGAAGCTTTTAGATACTTGCTCGATAAGGGCCCCAGCTACATGGCGTTCATTTAGCCAATTATGCTGAGTATGAATCATCGCCAGTCCTCAATGAAGGTAGCGTGCGCCAAGACGACCACCGACGTCAGTCCGATCTGAGTACGCCACATTGCGAGCTTCGACCACCTACGATCGTCGCTGGGCAGCATTTCTTTCTCCGTTGGCATCACTCTCACTTTTCAATTTGCAAGCACCCGTAGACCCAACGAACCATGAAGCCATCGACTACCGCTCTTACACTCATGGCCGCAGCTTTGGCGCTGTCGTCGTCGCTTATTCCGGCCCAACAAACTGGAACAAACACAAAGGAAGTGCACCCTCCTTTGACGTCCCAGCAATGCTCCAAGTCCGGTGGCTGTGTCACTGAGTCTACTTCGGTTGTGCTGGATGCCAACTGGCGCTGGCTGCACCAAGTGGGCGACTACAAGAACTGCTATAGCGGCAACCAGTGGGACACTACGCTGTGCTCTACGCCCGAGTCGTGTGCCAAGAACTGCGCTCTCGAAGGTGCAGACTACCAAGGCACGTACGGTATCACCACGTCGGCCAATGAGTTGCAGCTCAAGCTGGTCACTCAGACAGCGTACGGCGCGAACGTTGGCTCTCGCGTGTATCTGCTTGACGCTGCAGGCTCCGAGTACAAGCAGTTCAAGTTGCTGAACCAAGAGTTCACTCTCGACGTCGACGTTTCTAAGCTCCCGTGTGGCCTCAACGGCGCGCTCTACTTCGTCCAGATGGACGCCGATGGAGGCAGCGGACGCTTCCCGACTAACAAGGCTGGAGCTGGCTACGGTACGGGCTACTGTGACGCCCAGTGTCCGCACGACATCAAGTTCATCAACGGCGAGGCCAACACACTGGAATGGGGTGCCACAAGCCAGAATTCGGGTGGTGGCAAGTACGGCGCCTGTTGTGCAGAGCTCGACATCTGGGAGGCTAACAGCATGAGCAACGCCTTCACCTCGCACCCGTGCACTTCAGAGGGACAGTCGCGCTGCTCGAGTCCTGAGGAGTGTGGCAGTGGCGATGGCAACCGCTACAAGGGTGTGTGTGACAAGGACGGCTGCGACTTTAATCCGTTCCGTATGGGTAACGAGACCTTCTATGGCCCTGGCTCGCAGTTCACCATTGACGCCACTCGCAAGTTCACGATCGTCACGCAGTTTATCACCAGCGATAACACTGCAACCGGAGACCTGGTGGAGATCCGGCGCTTGTTCAAGCAGGACGACCGTGTGGAGTCGATGCCCAACAGCGTGTGGTCTGGCTTGAATGATGTCAACTCCATCACGGACTCCATGTGCGAGACGTCCAAGAAGGTGTTTGGTGATCAGGACGACCACGCTGCGAAGGGTGGACTTGTACGTATGGGAAAGCAAATGGCGAACGGCATGACGCTCGCCATGAGTCTGTGGTCGGACCATGCCGCGTACTGCCTCTGGCTCGACAGCAGCTACCCCGCTGAAGCTGATGCCTCCAAGCCTGGCGTAAAGCGCGGCTCGTGCCCGACGTCGGGTGGTCGTCCTGCTGAAGTAGAGGCGCAGCATCCGGATGCCACCGTCAAGTTCATGAACATTCGCGTCGGAGACATTGGATCCACGTACTAAGACACTTTTGCCAGGTATCTAAACCAAGTAGAAATAACGAAAAGTTATTCGCACGTCACAGATTTCCAACTTCAGCTTCAGCTAGATGTGGTCCACATTGAAAATCAAACAGCTTAAAGTTTGTAAGGCGTACTTAGTTTAAGATAAGATCTAGTGGGCAACTGACTGGCTGACGCGCGGCACAGTCAATTTGCCAACTCCATTTTCCATTTTGAGCAGCAGAGCACCTTTCCTTATCTCTTTTTACGTAGTATGAAGTTTCTGCCTCGACGCACCTCACAGAAGTTCACTCAGTTCTCCGTCCGAGCTGTTCTTTTTTTGGTGCTAAACCAACTCAGCTCGCCTGCTTTCACGCCGTGCCTCACTCCTCCGTGGCCGGTGTGCAACAATTGCGAGCTCACATACTCCAACAAAAGTGCTTTTTTTAGACAATTACAGTAGAAATAGCGTTGTTGCACCTCATAGAAGATATCTTTGTCTTCTGAAATTATCCGTGTCTTCAAAATCCAAAGCAAACACGTGTCATAGATTCGTAAAAAAAAGTATTTTCAGAAAATCAAAGGAGCGCTCGCGTGTGCACCCCGCTCCAGCTTTTTTTTCCTGTCCACTGCTCACCGTCGGATATTGGAGACAATAAATTGATCTCTGTCATGCTCTGGCGGATCGTCTAATTAGCAGCCACGGCATCAGCACGCGTCTGCTCAAGTGGCGAAGCCTTAAGTTGCACGAACAGCTGTCGCATTCTAGAGACGTCCTCCTCGTCCTCGGGTGTCTTCTTGGCAGGCACAGCGACCGGCTTGGGGTCCTGCTTCTTGGGGTCTTTCTTGTTGCTGTTGAGCGCGTCCAGTTTCTTCTTGCGACTGGTTTCGAGATCCACCAGCGTCACCACGCGCTCCCACGGGTTCTCGTTCTTCAGATCGGCCACCATCTTCTCCAGTGTGGCCTGCTCGAACACGCGGTTGGACTGCATCTTGGACTCCTTGATGCGCTGGCGTTCGGCCAAAAACTGGGCCATGTTCTCTTCGGCCTTAACCTTGCATTCAATTGCCACCTTCTCCTGCTCCTGAGCCTTCAGCGCGATCTTCTCGTCGTACTCAAGCATAAATTTGCTGTCAACAATAAAATACACTACAGTCAGTCTCTGTGTTATAGTTCCCAGTTCACAGCCAACATACGTGAGCTCGTTGTCCTCTTCAACGACGGGGATCTGGGCAGAGATCTCCATTGGAGCAGGAGGGATCTCAGCCTGGAAGTCGGCAGGTGTGTCAACGGGTGCAGGGGCAAAGTCCATGGGCTGGTAGCTCTCCTCCATGGTCTGGTCAAAGCTCTGCTCCGTGTGCTCTTCGTACGCTCCATTCGTGTCGGCATCGGTGGGCTCCACCGCGTAGAAACTGCAGATAAAGAATGAAAATGCGGATTAACAAACGTCGATAAGATACTCTAGTAATAACTTCATTTCTTACTCTCCACTGTTGCCAGCAGGCGGTGCAAAGTCCGAAATCTCCTGGGGCACGTCGTCCTCCACGGGGTTGCTGTCTCCGAACGGGTCTGACATCTCGATCTCGGTCAATCTGAGCTAAAAGCTTGCAAATGCGGCGGTTCAGTCGTGCACGTGGGATTTCGACTTTGGCTCCCCCCTTTTTACTGAAACGACGAAAACAGCACATACAAACACCAAGTGATCGCAATGTACAGCACACGATTATCTCGCAGGGCTTCAATTTGAGGTTTTTCCAAAAATAAGCCACCATCGGGAAGCAGTTTCTAAAATCAACTAATTTCTAAGCAAACCGAACTTAAGCAGAACCTACCACATATGTGGTCTACACCAGTGCGTGTGGTGCACATTCCGTCGAATCGACTGGTGGCTAGCGTTTGTAGCCCTCCTTTGCCAGACCCCAGCGAGTCGAAAACGCCGCCACAGTAGGAAAACCAAGCCAATCCGACGTCAAAATGGTCAAGCAGAAAAACCACACCGCCCGTAACAACACGGTGAAGGCCCACCGCAACGGTATCAAGAAGCCGAAGAACCACCGCTTCCACTCCACGCGCGGCGTATGTCGTTTCCCCACTTCATTCCACTATGCTTTACAGAAACACTGACCTATAGTTTTTCTTCATACAGCTGGACCCTAAGTTCCTGCGCAACCAGCACTGGGCCAAGAAGTTCGACAAGAAGCACCGCAACCGCAAGAACAAGAACAAGGTTCGAACTTCGTACATAAATGAACTTTGTCATCGTGTTGCTTACCGAATTGTAACCAATGATACAGGAGGAATAAGTTAAGCGCCATGGACACTAGTCGACGGAGAGTTTCTCTATCTTGCGGGTTGCTCTTCCAGTGATCGCCAGGGCTCGGTATAGGCCGAGGATGGAAGAAAATGGAGTGTTATTCCTTCTTTTCCTTCTTCTGGATGAGTGGCGAGTTAGGGTCGGTCGTGGTTGATTGGGACGTGGCGCTACAGGGCACGGAGGAACAGGTTACTGGGACGTTGTGTCTGGAGGCGTCACGTCTTCGCTTGGAAAACCGAAAATGCAGTCTAAGAGCTAGGGGGAATGGCTGTTCCTCCCTCTCTTTTGTTTGCATTGAACGTCTCGACTTGGACTTGGACTATTGTTTACGATGACAGGGAGGCTAGAGCTACAGATATTTAAGACAGGGGGTGATGGTGTGGAGTATACTGAGCGTCGAGAGAACGGAGATGACGATCTATTCTATTTATCTACATTCTCTGAACCAAAGCGTGAGCATGGAAAACAACAAAACTGATCCGTTCTCAAGATGATCTCAGTATACTTCACAGTACGAGATACGTGTGTATACTGTATATCTCACATGTTGGATGACGAAGATGATGATTTCTAAATCTTATCTACATTTTCTGAAGTAGCTTCAAAAGCTGCTTAATGAAGATACAACTAGGCGTGATTCTTCATCCAAAAAAACATTCTTACTTAATTACTGTAGTAAATCTGATGAATGAAAAGTCGTAGTCTATTGATTAAATCAACCGATCCATCTTATTCTACCTTCACTGTCTTCTCCTTGGTCTCAACAGCGTGCTCTTCCTTCACGTGTTCCTCCTTCGAATCATCAGTCTTGCCGCTCTTCTTTGCAGTCTGTTGACCTGGCACTGGTGGGTCGATGATAGAACGCACATTGTATTTCTTGAATCGGTGAAAGTCCGTCAAGATGCTGAAGCCACATGTGTTCCGAAAGACTTCAACCATCAGGACAGAGCGGGGCGCGGTGAGATTCACCTTGGTCTTCTCTTCACCAACCAGGTCCACAAGAGTGTCGATGACGTCCATGCTGATCAGGTTAGTGCAGTTACGTCGCTTGAACTCAACAGCAAACTCAAAGGTCTCGTCCTTTCCAGCAGCTTTCTGCTCGTCCTTAAACGCCTCCAGATGCGCCTTTATCATCGGACCAGCAAGTTCCTTGATGGCCTCCACACTAGAATAGCCAACCTTCTCCAATGGAATCATCCTCTGGATGAACCTGGACGCAAAGTCCTTGGTGCTTTCCACTTCCTCAAACACCTTGCTTAGAAGAGCAGTGGGCGACAGACGGTCGTCCTTGAATTGGATCAACACGGCGCCTTTGACGCCTGTGTCGAGGGCCGTGAACCTGCCAGTTTGACGCTTTTTGGCCTGCGTTTGCAGCGCTGCAATCTCTTCCTGAAGTTTCTTTTGCACGGAATCTCCTTCACCTACTCCGTCCTCCTCGGTGTCCTGATTCGCCTCTTCAGGCGCTGGGAAGAAGCGATCGGCCGCCTCGTTCAGAATATTCAGGGCGTCACTGACACTCTGTCGTTCTTTAATTTTGTCGCACGTCACCAGGACAGCGCCATGGCCTTTAGCGTTAGCTGCAGCACCCAGAGCGCCCTTATGGCGCTTCTGGTTGCCGTCACGGCCGCTCATCCATTGCTTCTTGCGCTTTTCGCCACCTTCGCGTGCCATGTTCACCACCCGAAAATGACTCAAATCAATCAAAGTCTATTGTCATCCAATAAGATGACTGGAAAAATATTTACTGACCACTATCAACCAATAGAAATTAGTGAAGGTATTGGTCGTCAACGACTTTGTCATTTAGCTAACGATAAGCAATGACGACTGCACTGGCGGACCACGTGCTGCTCCTGGGCTCGAGCCAGGGGAACGAGCTGCTCGTCGCTGATGCGTCTACTGGCGGGCAACTCTATTGCTTCAAAAACTGTCGCTCGGCGCTCAATGGAGTCCACCCAGTGCCGCGCACGGACCACTTGGTGGTAGTGCAGGAAGGCAAGTTGGCGCTCAACCTCTGGAACTGGGGCAAGGACATGCCCGTGTGGAAGTGTCATGTGGCCGAGAAGATGGGTCCAATCACGTCTTCAAGTTGCGGCAACTTCCTCTTCGCCGGTGCTGAGTCAGGCAAAATTTACGTCTGGGACGTCAAGACTGGCGAGCTGGTGACGGTATTCGACGCGCACTACAAGCGCGTGTCGGCTTTGGCACTTACGTCGGATGATTCGCACTTAGTCACAGCAGGTGAAGACGCTTTGGTGCATGTATGGAGACTCGTGGACTTGCTAGACGAACCAGACGCAGCTTCGAGCTTCCAACAAGGTGTCACACCCGTGGTGAGCTTCACAGACCACGTGCTACCCGTCACGTCGCTGCATGTGGGTCTAGGCGGTGTGAATGCCCGCATCTACACCTCCTCTCTGGATCGTACGTGCAAGATCTGGTCGCTCAATTCGCCTCAGTGCCTGTACAGCGTCTCCTGTCCGTCGTACGTCAACGTGTGCATTGCTGACCCCATGGAGCAGCGGCTATTCATGGGCTGTGGCAATGGACACATCTACGCACTGGACTTGAATGCTGCTGCCACATCCGTCACAGCAGCGACGGCACGTGTGGCTAATGCTTCGACAGGATCTTCGTCTACCAACGCTGCTCCTTGGGGTCCCGAGGCGCTGCTGCCGGATTCGTTCGAGGGTCATGAAAGCAGTGTCACTACACTGCAGATCCACGCCAGTGGGGCCTTCTTAATGTCAGGAGACGAGAGCGGGGCTGTGCATGTGTGGGACAGCATCAGTCGCCAGTCACTACGCAACATCAAGTTGTTCAAGGGCAAAGTCACAGCGCTGGTTTTGCTTCCTAGACCACGACACCTTTTCCGTCAGGCGAAGACAGCATTCAATATGGAGAGCGAAGACTTGGACGACATGTTGGCCACACCCCTACCAGTCGCCCCGCTCAAGAAATATATGAACGCCACCGACAACTAGTAGTGTTGCTATTCTGTCTGGTGCTTCATAAAAAAATAGACTTTGCATGCATGTATTTCTTTTTTTACATTTACTTGCTCTTTATTTCGGTCTATGGGACGCGGCGAAGAAAGGAGAGGAAAAAGCACTAGCAATCGCCTACGATGATGGAAGATGGAGCGATAAGGGAGGCTCAGCCTACGGGGGAATTCGAGGAGGCGTCGACGCCGAAGCTCCAGGAGCGGATGGATAAGGCTACTGAAGACCAGGTATATTCAGATTGGAGAAGCTCGTTTGCATACAATGCTGATACGTCTGTTGAAATGTAGGAACGGCAACTGGATGTGATCTTCACGGGCGTCAAGCGTCTCCACAACACAGCCAAGGCCACGAACGATGAAGTGGTCGCGCAGAATGTCATGCTGGAACAAGTGAGTGTGCAGGTCAGCGACACCGAAGTTGCCGTGCAGCAACAGACCAAGGCAGCGCGTAAAGTTGTCAGCGCACACCGCAAGCTCGGCTGCTACTACGTCATCATCTTGCTGCTGACTATAGCCCTGCTCGTCGTGATCTTCATTTAACTAACAGTTAAGATAACAGCGAATTTGCACTGCATTAGGGGTGAAAATGTTTAGCATTAATTTCTTAGTGCAACTTTAGCTATGTGGGCTGGACAGAGCATTGTGGTGGAGAAAGCAGCAGGAAGACGCTTTTCAGCACAATGAAAGAACGCGCTATCTCTGTCGGAGACTCAAGCAGCTCTCAGCACACGACCAGAAACAAGCATCCGCTTAGTAACGGTACGTCTCCGGCTTGTAGGGACCCGTGGGCTTGACGCCAATGTACTCGGCCTGCTCGTCCGACAGCACCGTCAGCTGAGCGCCCAGGTTGTCCAGGTGCAGACGAGCGACCTTCTCGTCCAGCTCCTTCGGCAGCACGTACACCTTACCGGTGGCGTACTTGCCAGAGTCACGCTCCTTCCACAGCTCAATCTGAGCCAACGTCTGGTTCGTGAACGAGTTGGACATGACGAACGACGGGTGGCCCGTAGCACAGCCCAAGTTAAGCAGACGGCCCTCAGCTAGGACGATAACAGCGTGGCCGTCCTCAAAGATGAAGCGGTCCACCTGAGGCTTAATGTTCTGACGCTTAGCGATCTTCGTGACGCCAGCCATGTCGATTTCGTTGTCGAAGTGGCCAATGTTGCCCACAATGGCGTTGTTCTTCATCTTGAGCATGTCCTTGGCCATGATAATGTCCTTGTTTCCCGTCGTGGTGATGAAGATGTCGGCCTCCGACACGACAGTCTCCAGACGCACCACCTGGAAGCCCTCCATGCACGCCTGCAGAGCGCAAATGGGGTCCACCTCCGTCACGTACACGATGGCACCGGCAGCCTTCATAGCCTGGGCGGAGCCCTTGCCGACGTCACCGAAGCCGCAGATCACGATGCGCTTGCCAGCCAGCATGACGTCCGTGGCACGCATAATGCCATCGGGAAGCGAGTGACGGCAGCCGTACAGGTTGTCGAACTTGGACTTCGTGACCGAGTCGTTGACGTTAATAGCGGGGAACAGCAGCGTGCCGTTCTTCTCCATCTGATACAGACGGTGGACGCCCGTCGTAGTCTCCTCAGACACACCCTTGCAGCGCTGGGCGATCTGAGTCCACTTCTTCGGGTTCGTCTTGAGCGTACGCGCGATGATGTTGAGCACGCACTTCATCTCGGCGTTGTCCGTCGAGTTCGGGTCGGGCACGGCGCCATTCTCGGCGAACGCCTTCTCGGCCTTGAAGCCCTCGTGGATGAGCAGCGTCATGTCGCCACCGTCGTCCACGATGATGTCCGGGCCGTCTCCCTTGCCGTCGTCCGTGGGCCACGTGATGGCGTTAAGTGTGCACTCCCAGTACTCCTCCAGGGTCTCGCCCTTCCAGGCGAACACAGCGGCTGAGCCGTCGCGAGCGATGGCAGCGGCGGCGTGGTCCTGCGTCGAGAAAATGTTGCACGAGCACCAGCGCATGTCACCACCCAGAGCCTTCAGGGTCTCGATGAGCACAGCCGTCTGGATGGTCATGTGGAGCGAGCCAGCCACACGAGCGCCCTTAAGCGGCTGCGAGGCGAACTCCTTACGGCTCTGCATGAGGCCGGGCATCTCGATCTCAGCGATCTCGATCTCCTTGCGGCCGAAGTCAGCCAGCGAGATGTCCGCCACACGGTAGTCTCCAAGTGAAGCCATTGTTGAAAGTAGGGGGGGGTGAAAGGTGGCTGGGCTTGTGGACGCAAATTCCAAAGTGGCCTGTCGCCGAGAAGGCTTAGGTAGAGGAGGGCCCTACACCAATCGTTACAGGTGGTACCTCACTTATCGAAATATGCATTTCAATAGGATACGTATAAGCTGATAACAGATCTTTCACGAAGTACATAAGGGTACCGGTAATCAATATTTATTTTTTGATACCTGTCTAAATATATTTAGCTAAGCTATTTAATAACCGCAGGTAAACTTTGGAAAATATATTTTTGCACCTCATCCCTGATCTGCATCCGTTGTCAGAAACTCCCGCGAATCTTTTTGCAGAGGCATCCGAAGGCGATGGCAAACGTAAACGACGCCTTGATGCGCCGTGGGAAGCTTGAAGGCAATGCATCTACCGCCAAACGGAAGCGCACCAGCAAGAGCTCCTGTGACGACAATGTTGCTTGCAAGAAGTCGAGGAGCTCAATGTCCACGTGGCTCTCACCTGCAGCTCAAAGCAAACCCACCAGATCAACCATCACGCCCGAGCCGAAAGCTGCAACTTGCGTAAAGGAATTAATGTCTCCGAGCAAGGCTCTCCCTTCGACGCAGTCGTATATTGACGTGGGTCAACGCAGCTTTGGCAAGCTCGTCACTTGTTCCAAATGTGGACTGCTGTACACAGCTGGGGAGGAGGAGGACGAGAAGGAGCACCAGAAATTCTGCAAACGGATGAAACGTGGCGTCACGTTCTCTAAGTGGAAGAAGGAACGAGTGCTGAAAACGGTTTCAGATACTAAAGCACGGATATTGGAGATCCGAGGGGAAGACCCTAGCTCACACGTCAAGAAGCTGCTGGAGATCAAGGAAGTACTCGACGACGCATTGGGTTTTGTCGAAGAGAAGGTATTCTTGCAGCGCCCCACCTTTGTATACATCCAGGACCGTCAGGTCGTTGGGTGCATTAATACGGAGCGCATTTCAGAGGCCTTTACTTTGGACAAGACTGCTTCAAACTTGGTTACCAAAGATGACGAGAACTCTGTAGCTTCTGAAGGTGCAGTTACTGCGTCTATCGATTCGAGATCTGCGGTTGTCGGCATCTGTCAGCTGTGGGTGCACCCTTCTTTCCGCAGGAAAAACATCGCAACAAGAATGGTGGACGTTGTACGCGAGAAGTCAATCTACGGAATGCATGTGGCCAAGGACCAAATTGCCTTCGCGCAACCGACGCGAAATGGGCTGCAGTTTGCACAAAAATACATGGAACCGGCCGAGGTGCTTATTTATTGAAGAGAAGTTTTTCTCATCGATAGTTGGGAGGATCTGTAAGCTAAAAACTATAACATGACTACGGTAGGGGATTTTGTCTCGAATCCTTTGCTTTGGAAATGAGCGAGGCAAAGTGAAAATTATACTGGTAATTCTTGCAGGTGCAACAAAAAAAGTTGCCTCAAAATTAAATTTGCATTTCAAAACTTGGTTGATAAAACCTCGAAAGGATGTCAACTACACATGGCAAGCCCGCGGGGGGCCTGGAGTGCATGGCGACGATGGACGACATCACGGAAGAGGACGGCAACTACTGCGAGTTCCAGACGTCGCCCAGCGGTTTGTGGCATCCCGCGCTCTTTTGCGCGGACGTGGTGGAGCAGCTTCTGGCATCGCAATTCCACACGTACATGAAGAAGGTTCAGGAGGCGGACTGCAAGGCGGAGCTGCGTCGCCTGGTGGCAAAGGGGCCTCCTATCTGGCTGGAGGACAAGCATGCTCTGCCCATTCCTGAGGGAGACACACACATCACAAAAGTGTGGTCTGCTAAAGACAACGAGGAACGCAGTGCCAAGCTGGACGGAGCTGTGGAAGGGGAAGCTCGTGATTCTTTGTGGAAAGAGCTGCGGCAACTCATGGATGCCATGGAGGAAGACAAGGAGGAAGTTCGATAAGCACAGAGACGGGATAGATGATTTCTGCGAGAATAGATTCATCTACCGGTAGACATTTCACTAGAATTTTTTCGTACATTATCCGATATGCTGCTCAGTAGATTCGGTTGGAGTGCGTTGCTGTGCTCAAGCGACGTGTGAGCAATTGTTGCGAGGTCACGCGCAATCGATAAGTCGTAGCATTTTTGCTTTTATCCTCAATTGTTCTTATAAACAGTGTGCTTCCCATCCGATTTCTTACGCCATCGAGTGGGTCACCTAAAAGTGAACATTTGTGTCTGGTATTGTGTGACGCGGAACTGCAGCAACGAGAATGTCACTTTTGATGCCAGGCACTCAAATGTGGCAGCTACGAGCAGGTCTTACTTAAATATGGCGAGGTGTAGCTGCGCTTCAGAAATTTGTTGGTTGCATGATTCTGACAGCACTCCATGAAATTGAAAATACTGTTTTTTTTAGATCGTCGTGGCCGGTGTACCAGACCAATATGCGTAGACGTCGATCGCTGAGTCACAAGAGGTGGCAAAGTGTTCGCCGCCATCACTTGATGCACCGCAGACAGGAAACTCTGAAGATGAAGCAAGGGTTGTAGTCGTAATGGTGCGTGATTCTGTGTCTGCGTTTGCTCATTACTCCCGCATTTTCCGTTGCGCAAAAGTCATAAAACTAATATCAAAGCCGATCCGATCTTCCAGTGAGCGACGCACCATGAAGCTCAGTTCGCCAACCGAATACGCCGCATGCTGATACTGAAGATACACCGCGTGTCTTCGTCGCCTTTACCTCCACAGACGTGCGTGCCGTTTAACAGGAACCCACCTCGTTTAACATCTACATTTTCACAACCGACACCTCCGTAGAGCAGGACCTCTCGTCCCAGCTATCCGGTTCAGGTTTCGAGCAATACGATCGCGTGAGGTCTTAGCGGCGTCATGGTCGTCTAGTGGCCATTAAAGCGGCGCTTCCTCCACTCGATCTTTGGACGCCACGCAGGCGGCAGCGGCGTGATGATGACATTCCCAGTGTGCCGTGAGTAAGAAAATAGAATTGGTCCCACGTCGCTTTCAGCCAATAAAACCGTGTATCACACCTTTCGCGCCGTTCGATTGGCTCACCACTTTAAAGAACAAGATGAATAATAGCCAACCATCTTGTGCAACACACACAAATCAAAATGGCTGGTCTTCAGCCAACAGAACTGCACCGCCACAACCTCTCTACGCACCACAAGCGTACTTTTTTGTATCCATGGATCTCGGGTTTTCCACCGCAAATCGATCTCTCTTGTTTTCAGTATGTCCCTCCTGACATCATCGAGTTTTGCAACAAAACGTCACTTTTTGCAGCCAACCTTTCCCTTACAAATTCCAAGTCAAGATTATAGCGATGACGATGACATCAACAGTGCTTCGCCAAAGTACGTCAGCCACCACACAAAGAAAAGCCGAAACAATGCGCTTTCATCTATAGAGCTCTTCAACGCCATCGTCTATGGCCGCTATCAGTCATTCCGAGATTTCCAGTCGACTGCGCACGTGCATTCCCACCGGCAAACGCCAGATCCACGTCGGCAATCATGATGTCTGTATCGCAGTTCAAGAAAGAGGCCAACTGGTTCATGGTCTACTACCTGTCGGTGGTCCACCTCGGAGCACTCGAAGGTTTACGTCGTCTCTTCTCCTGCAAATGGGAAATGTTCCCATTATTCGTCTTCATCTACTACCTGACGGGTCTGGGCATCACAATGGGCGCTCATCGTCTATGGGCGCACCGCAGCTACAAGGCGCACGGCATCGTGCGCTTCTTCCTCATGCTCTGCAACTGTATGGCCAACCAGGGCACCATTTTCCACTGGAGTCGTGACCACCGTGTGCACCACAAATACTCGGACACGGTGGCGGACCCGCACGACTCTGGTCGTGGCTTCTTCTTCGCTCACATGGGCTGGTTGCTTGTCAAGAAAGACCCGCGTGTGCTGGAGGCCGGTACTAAGCTCAACTATGACGATCTGTGGGCTGACTGGACCGTCGTGATGCAGGAGAAGCTCAACCCGTGGGGCAATTTATTTATGTGCTTCGTCTTCCCCACGATCGTGGGCGTACAAGCCATCGGCGAGGACTGGAAAAACGCGCTTTTCGTCCTTGGTTTCCTGCGCTATGTGGCTGTACTTCACGCGACGTGGCTCGTCAACAGCGCCGCTCATTTCTATGGCTACCAGACCTATGACAACATTCCCCCGCGTGAGAACTGGTTCGTGTCGCTCTGGGCTATTGGCGAAGGCTGGCACAACTGGCACCACAAGTTCCCGTACGACTACGCCACAAGCGAGTTCGGCGCCACGGCACAGTTCAACCCTACTAAGCTTACGATCGACTTCATGGCCCTTCTGGGTCTTGTCACGGACCGCAAGCGTGCCACTGAGATCTGGTCAAAGATCAAGGAATCCAAGGAAAAGGGCTCCAAGTTCCAGGATCCCAATGGAGACGACCCCAACCAGGCTTTCTCCGAACTCAAGGCCAAAGCCAATTAAAACAGCCTAGTCAGTCAGCATGTTTTGTACATCCCGGTGTCTTCGCTTGTGGTGAGGAGCATAGGATTAAGAATATTTTCGCTAACAAGCTTACCTTATTGATCGAAACAAATGTGCTCTGTTTATGTGAGGATCTACTTTTGCTTGCCACATTTCGGGATAATTTTAGTTTTGTGGCAGCTTTGCGAGTTGCAAGTTGCAACTTTTGACGTGATGACAGAGCCCCGGCCACTGGCAGGCAGGCTGCCAGCGGATGAGAGTGCATCTACTGCAACAGAAGTCGAACAGCGGAAGAATCCGTTAGAGAGGGTCAGTGGAGATGAGCCTCAGGATGAAGCTGAGACTCCGTTTGTGATATCAAAACCTTTGGACAAGTTGAAAGCCTTCGCGTTGCAACTTATGGAGCAGTTTTTCACGCAACACAAGCTAGAAGAGACTTTATCAACGTTGCAAGCCGAACTCGAACGAAAAGGAATTCCCCGCCCAGACGACCAGCTCTGGTTTGAAATGCACAACAGTTGCCGCGTTGCACTGACTCGAGGAAGTTCAAGTTGCAGCAGTACGTTAGAGAAGCTTTTAGCCTTCTGCGTGTCACCCCAAGCAGCAAGAACAGCTAGATCACTCGTATTGGATGTCAAAGCCCCACCAGTGTGCCTAGCATCACCGCAACCTAAGAGTATCTCGAAGCTTAAACAGACGTCTTTTTCACTGAAACAAGCCTACAGTCAAATGCTCTCGCCTGTTGTTCGACCAAGTCAAAGACACAAATACGGGGCCCCTTCAACACCCGCTCGTCCACAAACTAATGCTTCGGTATCAACGACTAAAGGAGAGTTATCCAGTGCACTTTCAGAGCTTGAAGTGGACAGCGTTCAGAATGACCTAAGACCGTCTTCATCTTCGGAACTAAAACCTGTTGAAACCAAGCAGCTGTCATCCAGCAAAAAGCGTAAACCCAAGAAGAAACGGACTTATGACAACGAAAGCAACAACAAAGCTAGACCCCATCCAAGCCCACATCCTGCACGGACTGAAAGCTCAATGGTGATGGCGTTCGACGAGCAGATCAAGCGAGACTTATCCTGTGGTCGCATTTTGGCTCGAGAGCTCCGAAATCTCCGTGTTGAGCAAGCAAAATGCAACTCACTACGTCGAAGTACTGCATCATTAGAAACAGTGCTGGCACGACATGACCCATACGATAAAGAACTCGTTCGCGAACGCTATGGCTTCATCCATCGTGTAGAATGTGCATTATGTGCATTCCCGTTTTTGCCTGTCAACTTGCCACATCGAGTGTCTTTCAAGTGCATCATGGATTTACATGCACTCTGGGGCTATCAACCTCCTCAGCGCGAAGTCGCAGCTCGGTATCGTCCACCATTTTGCTATGATGCAGTTAGTGTTTGTCGGATGTGTGGGCCAATTCTCTTCGAACACACCACTGCAACTCCCGACGCCTACAACGATCAAACAATTGCACGCGCAAGTTCACTCAGTGGCCTTGCAACTCCAAAAGCAAAAACGCGAACAGTTGCCGATTCTTGCGAACGACAATCACTCTGTTCCGATCCGTATGCTTTGCCACCATTATTTGGTGACGATGTGATCGAAAATGGAGACAGCTACACAAGCGAAGAAGTGGCCAACGAAGTGCTGCAAGGCAACGGCGCTGGAGTTATGCAAGAGTCCCCTGCAAAAGCAATTGTATACTCCCAGCAACAAACCGACACAGTGGCGTTCATGAGCTCCAAGGAGTGGGAAGTTATTCACCCATTGCGAAGCAACATTCGGCAAGTCATGGAGAGCACGGTTAACCACAAAGTAATTAACAAAACTCAGTAGATGGATGGAAACCATGGCATTGCATTGACATTTCGCTTAACAGCATAACGCCTCTAGCAAAATGACCATACGCTTAAGCGCTGTCCTCGCCCTGGAACTGGTACGTCACGTGGCACTTGCCGCAGTAGTGACGGTCAAAGTGGGTGGCCATGAACACACCGGCACCGCACTGAGGCGCAGGGCACTCCTTCTTAAGGCGCTGGATCTTGCCATTGTCGTCCACCTTGTAGTACTTCAGCACAGCAAGTTTGACCTTGCGGTGCTTGTGTTTGATCTTCTTAGGCTTGGTGTACTGTTTTTTCTTACGCTTCTTGCCACCACCACGCAGACGCAACACCAGGTGCAGGGTCGACTCCTTCTGGATGTTGTAGTCCGACAGAGTGCGGCCATCCTCGAGCTGCTTGCCGGCGAAGATCAGACGCTGCTGGTCAGGCGGGATGCCTTCCTTGTCCTGGATTTTCTGCTTGACATTGTCAATGCTGTCCGACGGCTCCACGTCGAGCGTGATGGTTTTGCCCGTAAGGGTCTTGACGAAAATCTGCATTTTCTGTTGAGGTCAAACACAGCGCGTTAGCCTCACAACAGTCTACAAATGCCCTTACCACGTCGGTGTTTTTCGGCCACTAAGCGTGAGAGAAGAAGACCAGTCCGAGAAGAATTATTCTTGTCCACTTCCGTCTTCTCATTGGCTGAAATTCTTCCTCAAGCTTCTCTCGCCGCTCGTGCTCTCCGATGACCGACGCGGCTTTGGGCAAGTAACCATGCATCATACATATACCTACGGATCAAGCATCAGCGAGAGGCCATACAAGACCTCCGCGCCGACGCCTAATCCGATCCTTGATACACGCAGGACGCGGATGATTTCTTGCAAGCGACGGCTGCTGGACATGTGAGACCCACCCAGAGGCGTTAGGGATTGGCAGCGCGTCGCTTGACCCGAAAGCGCTGGCGTCTGGAGCGAGTGGAGCATCGAGGATCGGGATCCGCAGGTCTTGGTCATGGACGCGAAGTAGAGAGCAACATACCGTCAGGCGGTTTCCAAATCCAAACTGGCAAATGGGCCGAGCTGCTCAATGTTCCGAGTTGGCTGGCAACCACCCGATTCTTTTCAAAACCGGTATGGCTGAAGGTTAAGTACGGCTGACAATGATTGGCTGAAAAATGAGGTCTTTGAGCGACGCGGATTAGTTGTAAATTAGTTTACTTTGTAAACGTATTTACTTTAATATTTTGAGAGAGAATTAAGTGATAGACCTTTGATAACGAATGCACTTCAACTGTCGCCGTCGGCTAACAGACGCCGTCGGAGCTAACGGTAGGTTTAAGGCGTACCAAATACAGCAGACAGCAGCCTAATTGGTGGCTCAGACACCGCGTATAGTGCTAAGAGCTCCCTGGTGAGGCAAATTTTATTGGACAGAGAATTAATTGCATCAAAACTATGCTGTCGTATCAGCTCAGCATGTATTTAAGCCAAAATGTGATGCTGGCCCTAAGGATTTCTCGTCGGCAATACGTATAAGATTAAACATTTTCTTCCAAGACTGAAGCTAAGCTCCAACCCAGAAAAAAGCCTTGCTGCAAATTTAGAAATGCACTCTTTTTTTAAAGAGTTTATTTCTAAGCCTTTTGAATATATAGTTTTGCCTCTTTCTAATTTTAGTATCTGACAGCTTCTTTTGTCAAGATGCTGGTACCTTGTACCGATCTGACCTTCAACTTGCTGTTCCGAGAGGCCATTTTTAGCTTGCGAACACTTTTTGACAAGGCCTAAAGTTGAAGGCTGTCGAAGTTGTTCTCGTGTTGAAAAGAACTTGCGATACTCGTGTGTTAAGATTCCTCCAGACGTTGCAGTAATTGACGGACACTCTTCATGGGCACACTTGAGGTGTTCTCTCACGCCTACTGTGCTGGCAGGAATTCGTGTGTGTTGGTGGATGCCTGGCTGGAACTTTTCTTAAGCTTCTGTACTTTGTTAGTGGTGTGTGGTCTGCTCGTAGCTTCGCGCTGTTGCTGGATCTGTGGACGTAGACGAATCCATCGCGTGCTAACTAGAACGACTCGAGGAATGGCACGGCGCATACGTCGTCGCTTACGTAAATGTGGAATCCGAATCGCTGGACGAACGTCACCTTTGCCACTTGCGGTGATTAAGAAAGACGCTACTGCTGCACACATTCACGGTCACAAGAACTCTCAACAGCAGGGAGAAGCCTTCATCTTGCAGACACAGCGGATGCAACACATGGACCTTGCTGCACAATCTTCACCACTTACGGAAGAGCTATCACAACCACAAATTCCTCCACTTATGCTTTCCGACGGCCATAACAATGTATTGTCTTCTGCCCTCCCTGAAGAGGAAAAGCGAGCTGCTGTTTGTGCTGGTTCAGTGACGGTGAAGAAACGTGATTCAAGCAAACCCATGGTCATAACCAGACAGCGATCAAAAAGTGCGATGGACCCTCCCAAGTCGCCTACCAGCTCCAAAGTACGAGCCGTATCAATCTCCGTAGCACGGAACCCACGCCACATTCTTGGCGTGAGGATAAGTGGGAGTCGCACAGACTCCGCAGATTCAGCCATGTCGTCAGAGCGCTTACGGACCAACTCTTCCAAAAAGTGGTTCCAAATTTTCAAAAAGCGAATGCCTTCTCGTGCGCATTCCCAAGCTCTTTTCAATGAACCATCGTACGCCACAAAGAATGGAATGGCCGAATTGTCACCAGAAGACCGAGCTGTAAATGAACGAAGAGCCAGCATGCAGTTACGAGATAAAAGACGCGTAAGTGTCGGCGTTAGTTCCCATGTACAATTCGAAGTCGGTGGTGATCAAGCTTCAGTATATGAAGTCAAACTACGTGAAGTGAACCTGGTAAAACGATTAGCCTCTGGGCCGTTGAGCGAGGTGTATGCAGCGATCTGGCGTGATACAAAAGTTGGCGTCAAATTGCTCATGCCTCGAGAAGGTGTCGTAGACAATTTAGAAGAGGCGGTCAAGAATTTCAGACGCGAAATTTGGGTTATGCATGCACTGAAACACCCAAATATTGTCAAATTACTCGGTGCAAGTCTGACGCAAAGCTGCTATGTTCTCGTTATGGAATACATGCCCAACGGTTCCTTATACGATTACTTACGAGATGCAGCTAACTTCTTCCCGCACCAACTTATTGTCACTAGTGCCTTTGACATTGCCTCCGGAATGGCTCATACTCATGCTTGCGACGTATTACAACGAGATTTAAAGTCCAAGAACTGCCTACTCTCCGAAAATCTAGTCGTCAAAGTATCCGACTTTGGTCTCGCACGGTTCAAAAGTCTTCAATACGGCTCATACACTTGGGTCGGCACGCCGTTCTGGGCTGCTCCAGAGGTGATTCGACACGAACCTTACGATGAAAAAGCAGATGTTTATTCGTTTGGTATCGTGCTTTGGGAGCTCGTGGAGCGCAAAGATCCTTATGACAACCTTAATGCCTTTCAAGTGCCACTTCAAGTGGCAAATGAGGGCCTCCGACCGGCAGACTTCACACGACCAGCACCTCTTGGACTCGAGCAATTGATGCGTCAGTGCTGGGATGCTGATCCCGAGCAACGTCCTTCCTTCGTTGACATTTCCCATACGCTAGGCACATGGCTAAGGACCAAAAGCTGTCAAGGAGACGACGCTCGAGTGAAGAGTATCGCTGAAAACGATGCCAGTATCGACTTGTCTGCTCACATTCAAAGAGGGAAAATTACAGCTACACAGGCGGAACTCCATCGGTTCGCTGAGTCTCACGACGCCAATGCCAAGGTCATCCCGATCACGCTGTCTTCTCTACGTAAAGGACTGTCGACCTCTAGACTACAGCGTGCGCGGTCCACTAAAAACATCATGACAGCGAGTGAGTTTGAGGAATTACGGGTCAATTCTACCTTGGGAATCCCCGGTCTCGAGGAACTTGGAGGATCAAAAGGTAAATTCAGCAGTAGTGGCTCCATTCCCCAGCGTAGAAGACTACCAAACATCCATTTCACGCAACTCGAAGCCAATTCTGACACTGAATAAAGAGCTTTTGTTTGTGAAAAGCAAAAAAATGGGTAGTTATTGATGCTGTACAGTACATGCTTCAATTTGGGTAATTTGAACAATTTGGTACAATATTCACATCGCTTCACTTGAACCGATGGTAGATGACTCCATCCGCTCCTCGAGGAGATGAGCAATTGGACGCAGCTCTGGCGTCACTCGGAGGCTGCGAGAGCACATTCGACTCCTGCGAGACTGGCGGCTGCGGTACCGTGATCGTCGCTGCCGACTTGCCACCGTAGCTGCTCATGGAGAACGCGCTCGCTAGACTGTGACTGCTGTTAGTGTGGAGCAGGTAGTTCCGCAGCAAGCGCTGGTAGTATTCCTCGTCCAGCGGCGGGGACGCGTCTTTGGGTTTCTTTATCAGCGCAGACTGACGTGGTAGCCAGAAGCTGCTTTGGTTCTGGAAGGTGTGGGAGCCACGACGTTCCATTTGGGTCTGCACTTGACTCGCACGTGTTGTTCCAATGCGGAAGCTGTGCGTGTGTGCTATAAGACTGTGGTTAGAAGGATATCGTCCGAGTTGGAGCGAGTTGAAAGGCGTAGTCGAAGTAGACGCCAAGTCCGCAGACGTAAAGGAGCGCAGGGACGTTCCTGCGTTCGAAGAAGAGACGCCAGAGACGATCGAGGCAGGGCCTCGACGACGCACCTGGTAGTGCTCTAGCACTTCCAGCATGGTGCTAGGCGTCTCCACGTCTTCTTCTTCGTCGGCTTCGTGGCCGGTAATTTCGGGCTGCACATTGGCCCGTTTTTTAGGTCGAGCGTTGAGACTCAGACGGTGTTGTTGGTATTTTTCGGATTCTCGGGAAGACAGTACCGAAATAGACGACATTTCTGCAGCCGCCAATAGTCGCTCGGTATGCTCAGAAACCCGAGGCGGAGGCTGCTGCTGATTGGACCCATCAGTGATAGAAGACGCCGTGATCGTCGGACGGAAGAACGTCGGCGCACGTTTGCGCTTCTTGGCTAGTCGCTTAATCAGTCGAGCGTTGATCGTCGCGCCCGACGGGATCACAGCACACACACAGGCAAGACAGAAGGTCTCGGTACAAGGTCCCGAAGTTAAGCCTGTGGTGGGATTCCCTCCATTAGGGTGATAGTGCGCGCAGAAGATGGGCTTTGTCACACGACAAGTCCGACAGCACACCTTCCAGCAGCATCTGCAGCTCCGTGGAGCGTCCCAGAAGAAGAGCGAGCGAGCACAGACGCCGCAGCGTTGTCTCGAGTGCGAATACTCGACGGGCTGCTGCTTCTGACCAGCTAGTAACAGGGACAAGTTCTTGGCCTGGCCGCTCTGTACTGTGTTGGCCATTGACGTGAGCCATTCAGCGATGCAGTTGTCTCCGAGTAGCGGTGACAAGCGCCCACTAGCATTGAACTGACCGTGGGCGAACATGGCTACACGATCGTCACCTACCCGCTTGAACACAATTGCGAGGGAAATAAACCCGCGAACAAAGGACCCGGACCCGAAGTTAACAGAACTGGCACTACGGCTACGGTTCTGATGCCCTTGACCCACTGGCGGCCACGTCGCCCCCGTCGGCGCGTTCGTATCGAAGCTAGACACTGCGATCTCGTCGGCTAAAGGGTCAATAGAATGCAGTACCATGTAGCCCATGTCTTCTCCCAGTTCGTCTTTAAACACGTCCATCTTCTTGAAGCATACAAAGTCTCGGTGTCGACAGAAGCCAAGACCTGGTAGCTTCAAGGCCATCCACACAATTCCCGAGAATTGGAATGGCTTCGTCTCGGTACTGCTCTTATCCACCTGCAGCACTCTGGCGTCCAATGAGCGAGGACTCAGCAGCATCTGCAGGACTCTAGCGGTCCTCGTGGAGTCCGCGTACAGTCCATTCATCACGTCTCCCAAGGAGCCGTGTACAGTGCCAATAGCCTGCACGGTACACGTCCGCTGCTGCCGCGTTTTCAAGCGATAGACCCTGATATCGCTACTCTCACGAAGAAGTTTCCATTGCCGAGCCTCCACGGCTGTCAGACGACCGGGAGAACGTGTTCTGGGCAGCTCGTGAGCTGGTAGATTCAATGGCGAGCGACTGATTCGGAAGCGAGAGCGGCGTTCGCGCTCCTGACGCTCGCGGAAGAGCTGCAACGTGGCGTCCAGCCGCTTGTTGCATTGCTGATGATAGCGTCGCAGCCGCGCCGCAGTCACGTCGTTGAGCGAGTGGAGAAGCGGGTCCGAGCCCTCGTCGCCCATTTCGAGCGTGAAGGCGGAGACGAGGCCATTGCTGACCGGAGGACGCGCCACGTCCACCATGCACGCTTAAGCTCAAGGTGGTGAATTCGGTTGTGAGCCAGAGTGCAAAAGTCACGTCTACTCGTTGAAAATCGAAGGAGAAGGTGGAGTTGACTGTGTTTCAGTATACCTTGCGGAGACCATGTTCAGACCACAACATATCGCAGCGGCAGCTGGAAGTATCTTTTTGCTTCAGCTCAGCTCGAGGCTACCGGTACTTGCATAGGCGATCAAGTAGCTTTGGGGGCGGTAGAGAGGTCGATACACGTTCTTATTCAGCAGAGCCACAGATCGGCAGCCCCGGAATGCAACACTTTGGCTGTGTGTGTTTGCCCGTGATTCTCATGGTTTCTCCGTAAATTTTGGTGCGGGAGGTATCGTACCCATCTTGGAAGCATCCAAGCCGAGCCACTGGATTGCCGCAAAGCGCGCGAAAGCGAGCGCAAGAGCCTGGTCTGAGTTGAGTCTGTTGTGCCGGCAAAGACACGGCAGATTCGATATCATGTTCGCTTTTAAATGAACTTTGGAGGTCTTTGAAGTTTACAGTTCGTCTACAGTTCCTTTGGACAAGAGGAGTTACATGAATGTGCTGCCTAAAGCACTTGGCTGTGCGAAGACGGCTTCGTTATCGCACATTGCATCAAGATCTGCTTCAAGAGTCCCAACATTTTGGAGATTGCCTTCCATAATGAAATGAAGTCTATTTCTAAGCACCACGGCTCATCTGCCATCATCTTGTTGTCGTGAGCTTTGGTCGCGCTGAACTCGGATGCCTCTGCCTCCGTTGCCACCTGTGTAGAAGATAGATACCGATAGTACCGTAGCGACGAAGCGGTAGCCACCAATTTACTTCCCAGTCGCAGTTGCAGCAGTCGCGCCTCGGTGCTCGTGGCCATCACCTGTACAACGTCTCGGCAGCCATCGCCTCTGCCGGCGCTGAATAGCAGACCTGAGCAGAGCCGGAAGCAGTTCAGCACAGTTAATTAAATGCTTCGTATTCACCGCGGCAGAGACTTGATGCATTACTGTATTGGATACCGAGTAACGCAGGACGGTTGCAGCTTTCGGAATGCGTAGGCTGATTTGTGCTGATTTTAATGCATAAGTCGGCGCACCGAGAAACGGGCGGTAGCTACACCATTGCCGATGGTCCATCGGAGCTTAGAGCTGGTGCGAATAGCTCTCTTCATAACGCTTGCACTTCAAGGATAGCGTTTCGATGCCAAGTCTGGGTTACGCCGTAGCTTGACTAAGCCCACTTCAACTTCACTGACCAATCTTAGAGCTAGGATTTCCCCAGTTACAAATTCTCAATGTGCGTTACCATGCGATGCATTTCTTTCTCATGTTGGTGTTCAACCATTGTCTGGACGTGGCCGCAATGTGCGTTAGTGACATCATGTTGGTCATGTCAATAGGTGAAGGAACTTCAAAGAATGTGGGGACTGAAAAAATGTTGGCTGCTTCTTGAGGGGAAAAACTAAACTCTGATGGAATCCTGAATTACCCAAAAATCGAGAGACTTTTTAGATGATAGTGGAGATATAACTAGACATGAAGCTATAGTTGCTCGCTCATCCATGAGAATTGTTCGAGTTGTTAGAGGACAAGCAATTTGCTTTTGCACAGCAATTTACTAGCCCCAGTTTTGAGCATTTAGCGCCTTGTTAGCTCACGCATCTGGCGATTCTGTATTTTGCATTGGCCGGCTAAGAGTTGAAAATGCTGTGGAGTCGTGAACACGTTGCTATAGTAGTTTCAGGCAATCCAGTGTTAATCCGCACCCTTCTCAAACAGTCCGTGTGTCGAGTGAGAGTTTTGTACGTATTTTAGAAAAAACGTGTATTGTGGGTTCTACTCAAAATTTCCCTTGGCGGTTCTTTGAATGAACCGCCGCCGAATCGACAGACTACCCAAACAGAATAAAAATAATCCAATACGAAGTGTTTCCGCTGATAGCGCACAAGCATGGTCGATGGAGCAGCCCCAACAGAATCACGGCTGGAAGGGACCCCACGAGCGCATGTATCGCATTCAACTAGGTCGGAGCTGACAGAAGGAGTAGCGGTATCGTCTCCCGCATTGTCTACAGCTTCACGTGAGTTGGCTCAGCCTTTGATATGTTTGATCTTAACGCACTAATTACTTCGGTACGTTTACTGCATCTAGGACGATCTCGTACCAGTAATTGTGCTTCGCCTCGGGTATCGCCGTATCCACAACGCGATCGAACCCCGCCGCAACGTCTGCAAGATGAAGCATCGCCTGCTACCAACGCTGCATCACCTTCGGCTCATCGAACAGCAGCACAGCATCGACTTCAGCTAGTCATCCAACCAATCGTCAAGAATACGATTGGCCAACGTGACACATCGGGTGAGGCCCTCGATGTGTTTGCTGTGAATGGTGCCACATTTAACGATATTATACGTAAGATCTGGACCAAGTTCAGTTGCCGAGTTAAGGGGCAAGCAGTAAAGCGTGATGGTACCTGGTCTGTCGAGGAGCCATTGGAGCAATCATGGTCCAAGGTCATGCAGTTTGAGAACGGTCGTCACCTAGTTGACAGCACGAAGAATAGCCAGGCCTGGAATCGCTGGATTGCTTCAACGCGTGGCGAAACTGTGAAGTTGATGATCTACCAGTATGGGCTAGCTATTGCGAAAGCACAAGATCTCGAAAAGTTTCTCACAGCATGCATTCGCCCGGTACAGACCGACCGCTCTGGCGCAGCAGTGAAAGCTTGCTTCAGGAGGTTGTTGAAGAGCTGAAAGAAATTTGGCGTGCAACATTTCAGGCTGACCCAATTGTGTGGCGAATGTGGGCGAATAACATTGTTCGATCTATGGATCGATCGACATGAAATCGTGAGATATTGAAAGCTCCACCGGATTACATCGCGCGACTGCTTCGTCCCGCCGGGGTGGAAGCTGACCGGCACCTGTCGAATCTCACACGGTCTTCAATGAAGGCGTTCGCCGCTGTTCTTTCGACATCGGACCACTAGGATCAAAATCTCCTTGAACCTTCCATCCGCAGTGCTTGAATATTCGCTCCATTCTGATGTCTTTGAAGCGTTGAAATGTTTCGACGACAAATGGCAGGAGATCACGCTTACTCAATTCCACGTAGTACCTCTGGAATGACTTCTTGATGTAGCCAAATAGGAGCTCAATCGGATTGAAGAATGGGCAATATGCCGGCAGGAATAAGGGAACAATCTCAATACTTCTCAAGAAGTGAACGATTTCAGGGTCTCTATGAATTGATGCGCCGTCTAGAATCCATTCCGAATGAGAGCCCGGATACTGGCGTACATTTCCATCTGCTGAATATGCGAAGTCCTTGCAGCACTTAACGAACTCGACTCTATCAAACGTGCCTTGAACATCATAGTAGCCAAGTACACCACTCACACCAATAAATGCGAGAATTGATACTCTGGGCTTGCGCTGAAAGTCGCCTTGGATAGCAATAGTATGCCCCTTTAGAGAATACCCCCGTTTCCGAACCATCCCTCGATTATCAAAAGACACTTCGTCCAGGAACACGAGATTGTGGTGGCACCAGTCAATATGACTCAGCTCCTCAACGAAGCGAAAGATGTCCTGCTCCTTAATGTGCATAGATCGTCTCTCAAGCACCTTTCTCGTTAGTCCGCACTCATGAATGATGCGCCATACGGATGCCTTCGACATTTCGATGCGATGAGCACGTTTGAAAGCCGCTTGTGCTTCATCAAGATACGCTAGCGGTCGAGCGGCGTAGAAATCACACAGCCACTGTCGGTGAGACGCAGTGAATCTCCTACTGTCGGAACTCTGATCACGCTCGTATGTCCCAGTCTCGTCGTAGACTTTGATCCAGTTCCGGATCGTCTTCTCCGACTTATTGTACACCTTTGCGAGTTCTTGCTTCGTGTACCCCAGACAGTAAAAGCCATAGAGGCAATGAAGACAGTATTCTGATGCGCGTGCTGTTTCGTCACGGCTTCCTCCATCTTTAGTTGCAAGCAATACCATCAAATTAGGACAGGAAGACATGTGTTTTGACCAATCAGATCAATGAGCTTATTGCCTGTCGGTTGGCCAAACCCACCCAAATCGGCAAATTTGGGCGAGATTCACAATAACAACGCCTCAAAAGACAGTTTACCCGTAGCTAAGGTTTAAAAGACACGGTACAGTGTACCAGTGCGCTTACAGACTGTATCGAAGTGTATCGAATAAAAGCCTGTTGGGACAAGGCAATGCCTTAAGCATGCCTTAGGCATGCTGTAGCTTTTGCTACTTCAATGCTGTCGAGTCGACAGCTTCGAAAATTTGGTTTTGCCAGTGGCAATCTGCCAGTCTGCCGCAGACTGTGCCACACAACTCAGTTTGCAATTGGTGATCCAGAGTTAAGTCGTTCTCGTCAAATCCAAGGCTAAGGGCTAGTCGTCTCAACGGAGACTTAAAGCGGTACACAAATATGTATTCTGTAATAACCTCAGTTGTGCGCTTAACCGGAGCGTATGAGGTGTGCTTTTGCTTTTGCAGAGCAAGCGCATCATGGGTCGACCACTAAGTGCATCTCGGACCCATTTCGTTAAAGTTCCCGGCGTGAAGGCTAATAAGAATCACTATTTCGTTCGCTGCAAGCACTGTCTTACTGCCCATGTAGCTCGATCAAAAGCGCGCACGCTCCAAACTCCAACCAGCCGCGAGCCGGATTCCCCTTCGCCAGACATGATGGTCGGAAGAGTCGAGAATTTCAGGAGCCACCTTTTGCACTACCATGATATCGCTGAGGAAGATGCTCCATCAAAAATACGACCTCTTCCACCACCTCCACCACCCATGATCACGCTACATCAGCGTCGGAAAGAGGAAGATAGCGATCAAGAACGCCACCCCCCCCCTCCTTCTCTACCGATGAGTCGCTTTCAACTGCGTACCTCCGCATGTATCCCCCCAGCAACAGCGCCAGATTGAGCCAATACACTGGGGATCCAGAAACTGAAAGAGTCGCTTGTCGCGGGATGCTCAATGTACGAGTCCGGTATACCAATGACACTTGAAACTCCAGCAAAAAGCGTTCAAAACCCTCTCGACGTGTTCTTGGCGGACGTATCTTTAAATTATTCGCTAGGGAATTCTCGGAGCTAAGTGCTGCCGCGTTACGCAAACTTCAGGAGTCCACTGGGGGGCGTGCTAATTTCCTCAGTTATGTTTGGCAAAATATTGCTAAGACGCCTTTGCTTGGTGTGCACCTTTCTCTATTTGGGAGAATACATATTTAGGGCATGCACGGGGTCGGGTCTGAGCATGACGATGTCGCAATAGCTCGGCAAATAGAGAAACTAATTATAAAGATGAATCAGGAGGGGTGGAATATCGGTGCTGCCATAACGAACAACGCTGGGCAGTGCGCTCGAGCGTGTCGGATCTTGGCTCTGCGGTAGCCAAACATTCATTTCGGCAAATGCTTCGCACACGATATCAACAATCTTGTCAAGGCTGTCTTGAGAAGAACCGGCTTTTACGCAGTTGCAGACGAAGCGTCCGCTGCAGTCAAGTCACTAAACAGCTCGACATCCAAGTGGCTACCACGTGTCAACGAGGTCATTGCCAGCACGTACGAGCTTCGAGGTGACAAGCCTCTTGCATTGCTCACACTTTGCGAAACCCGATGGAACTCAATGCAAGGCTGTTTTGCGTCTTTACTTCATGTCAAGCCCGCGTTAAAACAATTTGTGGTGAGGTACCAGAACTACAAAGACCTCCCACGCGCCGTTCGTGTATTCAATAATGATATCTTTTATATCTCACTGGGGGACGCTGAATTGACGATAAGACCATTTTGTAATGCTTCATACATTCTTCAGCGCGATAAAAACACTGGTATTGTGCTACCGTGATATTTTTGACGGGTTCATCTCAAGCCCGCACGCGGATGGACTAGTTCAGCTTGTAGAAGAACGCTGGCAAGATTGCGAACAGCCGCGACTTATGCTGGCGCTGTTCTTACACCCTTCCCACGTTAATACCGCTAGAGCCCTTCCTCACACAGCTATTTCATCGGTCACAGCAGCATGCAACTTTGCGGTACTGTATTTCCAGCGTTTTTTTCGTTTCGCAGTCTGGGTCGACTTCGGGCCGGTGGTGTAACAGTGAGCTGTATGTCGAAGATGACGAGCCGTTTTCAAATCAGTGACTTTGGTGGGGATGCCACAAGCTCCTGTAAGTATGCCATGGATTTAAGAGCAGGTATAAACCTGCCTGATCTTGCGATTGCTGTGCTGTCAATCGCTGCAAATACAGCGACTTGTGAGCGGTATTTCAGTGAGGTCGGGCGAGTTCATACATCAACGCGAAATTGCCTCAAACCTGATAAAGCAAACAAGTCTGTAGCAATGCGCCAAGCTGTTCGGGATCGAGATCGTTTCCGTAAAGAATCAACTACGGATGAATGTCATGATATCGATGATGAGTGTACAGAAGAAGATAGTGAAGGCAACAAATACGTTAGCCGCATTATCAAGCCTGACGAGCGTCCTTTTCGAAGAGAAAGTTTGGCTTATGATCCCACAGCATTGAATATGCCAGTAAGTGAAGTTTCAATTCGCTCCTACGAAACTTCAAGTCGCCATCTCTCCATGAACATCTCTTCGACTACTCCAACTCATTACGGTGCCCATACGCCAAGCCGCCCATCCATTCCAATTCATTCACATAATCGCTTATTGAACATGCCGGATTCTCTAGCAATAAGCGAAGATCTACCTGGTCAGTTGAACCCGAGCCGAAGGTTGGACTTTTCGAGTGCTGGCACATATCAGATGCAAGACTCTGCGATTTTTGTAGCACCTGTCGATGGAGAGCGAGCCAATCTCGATTCGCCACATTCTGTTGAGTACTCCAGCAATATGTTAGCCAACAATGACATCCTTGCACATTGGCGATGGTTATTTGATAAAATACCAGACAGTCAATCAATAGATGGCACCTCTGCGATCGATGGACAAGCTATCGACGGCGCCGTACAAGAATCTCGCATGTTTGGATAATATGTCGATAATGACCAACCTGACGTAGTGATGGATGGCGAAGATGACTCTATTCGACTCCGTGGACGACCCAATCCACCTTACAATGATCCACAATTTCCCAAGAAAAAACACTGGCAGGTATGCGAGGCAAGAAGGCAACCCTGAAAAAGTTGTTTTACCTACCGAGCGTGACACCTGTGTAGCTCAAAACCGCCATCGTTTTGAGATGCTGTGTTATCTGTGCTGACTTTGGAGACTTGGCTGTGCGCTTCCACAGCCAAGCTTCTCAGTTGGTAAGCCAGTGGCGACTCGAAACAGCTTTCCAGGAAGGGTCCACATCTCCATTACATGAGTCTTCGGTTTGTAGGTATTTTCAGGGCTTTGATGATAAACCTCATACAACATGCTATCAAAATAGTTAGCATGCACTCGCTCTTGTTGTTGTTTCAGCTAATAAGAAGTACCGTGCTTGCCAAAGAGGATCGGAACTGTGAGCTCTTTTTTTTTCAAGTAGGCGATCATTGCTAGCGCCCGGGTTACGCATTCACTAACTTTGATACGGGGAGGTGTGATCGTCGTCGTGCTGTTTTCACGATGAAAGCATCTACCGTTAGTACAGTAAACGAGCAATGCTTAATTAGAAAAGCGCTAAAGTGTAATAAACCGAATACTTTAAGTATTTAAGTAAGACTGACTGACGAATGCTGCTTGAAAACTAAGGCTCAAATTGATAAGCAAATG